ACTGAATGGTTCAGGTCGAATAAATTATCCCTAAATATAAGTAAAACCAAATATACTTTCTTTCATAGACTACACGAACAAAACATTTTTCCTTTAAAACTTCCCAATTTATGTATTGATAACTCTAACATAAAAAGAGAACACTCGTGCTCCTTTTTAGGTTTAATTCAAAATTGATAAAAAAATGACGCCTTCCATATTTAATACCCTTTTTCATAAAATAAATCTTTTTACCCTACCCGATTTTCAAATCTGAACTACAAACAACCCAAAACCTATTAAATGGCCACAAAATTTTCAATTGCGAATAGAGAACCCAATTTATGTAATACAAAAATTAATAACGATATAAAAAATATTATTTCCTTTAACCAATTTAAAATAAAACTTAAACAAAAACTTTTTAATACTGACAATGAATAGTTATTTCTAAATATCAAAAATAATATTATATGTTATATTTATTATTAACTGACTGGTTTGCTTTTTCAGTTCTTTAATCTATAGTTGTTAACTATATTTAACTATAAGTAGTTTTAAATTTAAATGTTTTAAAACTAAATTAGAAAAAAATAAAAAATTCACTTACTATTCACTCAATACGACGTTTTCTTTTAGTCGTCTCAAGGTTTTTATATTTCGCTTTTCTCTCCCTTTTTTTTTATTTCTTTAATTTTTTATTTTAAAACTTGGTTTTTGAATTTGTATTTTGCTATTTGTTTCTTTCTTTTTGTTATTGTCTTTTTAAATTACAATTCAAAGGTTTTTATTTAAAAAAGTATAAATATATGTATGTGTGTATATGTGTTTGTATATATGTATATATTTATATATATATATATATATATATATATATATATATATATATATATATATATATATATATATATATATATATATATATATATATATATATATATATATATATATATATATATATATATATATATATATATATATATATATATATATATATATATATATATATATATATATATATATATATATATATATATATATATGTATGTATGTGTGTGTGTGAGTATGTATATAGGTATGTATACATGTATGTATGTGTGCATATATGTGTGTGTATATGTACGTGTGTGTGTGTATATGTGTAAAACATGTATGTATATGTATTAAAACATTATATAATGAAATGTGAAACATGGTTTTAACTTCGGGGCTTAGTGATATGACTACTGTTGTCTTCTTTTTGCTCCTGTCATGTAAATTCAATTTATACGATTCATTATTGTAATAATATTTAAACGGCAAATATATATAAATATATAAAAAAAGGAAAAAAAAAAGATAACGGGGCATTACTGGCACGAGTCTGGTTAGTGACTCATGCAACTTTATATGTACGGTAAATCATCGCAAGAAGTCGCAGTGGCGTGCGACGAAATGCCAGAACTCTGGCGAATAGTCGTAAGCCACTACGACGGCATTTGATTTCGGGACAGCACTGGCCCGATTGCGATGGATACAAAGTTTTGGCCGAATGTCGTTTTGCAATAATTGCCATTGTTTATTTATTTTTTTCGTTATCCACGATGGCACAATAAAAGCAAAACTAAACGTTTACAAGAAATATTTTATTATTACAACTAAATGTTATTATATTTTGGTTTGTATAAAGGTTTGTATATATGTTTGGTTATTATACTTTGATTTGTTTAAATGTTATGCTTATATCATATCAGCATAATTTTTATGCAAAAGATATGCAAAAGATGCTTATTTAGTGAAAAACACGGTTTGTATAAAGTTACATATATCTAACTTTATTAAAAACATTTATTTTTTGCGTAAAAAATGAAAGTTTTTTTATAAGGTTAGATATATCTAACTTTGACTAACACTTTTTTATTTATTATAATATAAGAAAAAAATCTCAAAATATGTAAGTTTATCAACTAAATTATTTATTCGATGAAATTGCAGTTAATTAGATTTTTTTTATATATTATAATAAATAAAAAAGTATTTGTCAAAGTTGGATATATCTAACCTTTTAAAAAAACTTTCATTTATTACGTAAAAAATGAATGTTTTAATCTAAATATTAATAGCCGAATGAATATTATTAGTGCGCATAGTTACGCATTGTTACGCCTAATGCTGCTCGTTTTGTTAATTACGGTTCTGCATTATGTAAAATACACTATTTCTTAGTTTTTAAGTTGTTTCTAGACTTTTCTAAGCGCAGTTATATATTCCACACGGTCTTTCGAGTAAAATCAGCAAGCAAATTGGAGCTGATACACTTATTTTCAAGAAGAATTGATGTTGTTTATTTTTTTAAAATAAAAATTAAAATAATTGTTAGTTTGTTATGTATTTTATTTTTATATGTATATCAACATGTATTTTCTCTTATCAAAAATAGTTGAGAATAGAAAAACAAAAAAAAATTCTTCTGGACTTTGTCAAAAGGGTGTCGTGTTATGCTTCATCTTAAGGTATGTATATATGTATTTAATTTTGATTTTTTAGAATAAGTTAGAACTAAATTGATTGGTAAAATAGTTTTTTTAGTACAATGTTTCTTTTTTAAGAAAACTGTTTCAGTTTGGTTGTTAGTCTTTTTAAAACATTTTAGGCTGTACTTGTTTTTTTTTTCGAGCAGTTAAGAGGAGCTGATTGCTTTTTTTAGTAAGTTCAAGTTATTTTCTCATACATAAACTAAGAATTTTGATTTATTTCAGTCTATTTTATTTTTCCCTCTCTTTCTCTCTCTCTCTCTCTCTCTCTCTCTCTCTCTCTCTCTCTATATATATATATATATATATATATATATATATATATATATATATATATATATATATATATATATATATATATATATATATATATATATATATATATATATATATATATATATATATATATATATATATATATATATATATATATATATATATATATATATATATATATATATTATATATATATATATATATATATATATATATATATATATATATATATATATATATATATATATATATATATATATTATATATATATATATATATATATATATATATATATTTTTTTTTCTCTAAGGATAAATAATAAGGAATAGAAAGTTGAGAAAATTTCTTCAGCAATTTGTTATATTAAAAGTTACATGGCTAGTCGTATAAATTTTAATATAACAAGAACAATATTATACTAATATGAAGTTATATATATATATATATATATATATATATATATATATATATATATATATATATATATATATGTATATATGTATATATATATATATATATATATATATATATATATATATATATATATATATATATATATATATATATCCAGACACACACACACAAATTATATACATTTTTAAATATGTACCAGCTTTAGTACATAAAACAATTTAAGTAAGTTATAATAGTGAGCTTTTGAACAAAACGACAAAAAATAATAGCTGATGTTGAATATTGCCTAAATGATTATCAATATCAAGCAATATTTCACATTCACTAAAAGAAGTACAATCATTGTATTTAAAGAGTATATCAGATCGAATATTTTCAACTGAGAGTGTTATTCCCTCACGTGCAAATAATATTGATTGTGAAGTGAACTCTGACAGTTATTTAACAATTTCTGATTCTGAATCTTACCCATTAGAGTCACCAGATTTTGAAACAATTGATGATGTTAACAATGATGAACTAAAAATTGATTTGATGCAGTGGGCAGTTAAGTATGCTATAACCGATGAAGCATTAGCACCTTTGTTAAAATTTTTGGGTAAATTGTTTCCTGATTTGCCGAAAGATCCACGCACTCTACGTCAAAGTCTTTTGTACCTGTTACCAATATAACTGGAGGACAGTATTGTCATTTTGGCATTAGACAAGGTGTTTTAAGTAATCTTCAAGTTTTTTTAAAAAATAGGATTGTATTTCAATTCAAGTCAACATTAATGATTTACCATTGTTTAAAAGCAGCAATGGCCAATTTTGGCCGATATTAGGTTTAATTAAAAATGTGGATAAACAATATTTAACACAATAAAACCCCATTTATAATCGGTCTTTTTTATAGTAGGTCTAAACCAAAAGACTGTAATGAATTTCTAAAAATGATTGTTAATGAAAGTATTGCTTTATTTGATTCTGGTATTAGTATTAATGGTAAAGTATAAAAGTTTGCTATATCAGCTTTTATTTGTGGTACACCAGCCAGTTCATTTATAAACGGAAATAAAGGACATAAGGCCTATTAATAAATGTTATGCAATATATAATGGCATTAATTTGATATCTATTTTTTTTTTAATTTTTAAAAAGTATTGTTTAGTATATTATATACTAAAGAATATTTTTAAAAAAATTAATAAAAAAAATAGATATCAAATTAATCCCATTAAATATTGCATAAAATATTTTAATAGGATTGTAGAGGAGAATTTAAATCGTGATCTTACCAGAGCAAAAAAGTAAGAGTAATTTTATATTTATTTGTTTTAATGTTATTTTTGAAAAAAAACAAAAATATAAGTTCTGGAGTCTGTCTAATGTTTGATTTGTTTGATTATATTAAATTTAAATATAACTATAAGCTTTAAAATATAAAGTTATTGATGGAGAGCTAAATTAACTTGGCATTTAACCGGTGAAGTTGATGAATAAAAATCTAACAAATTTTTTATTTTACAAGCCATAATTTTAAAGGATTACTTTAAGAATTCCGTTTAAACATGCTTGTAATTTAATGTTACATTTATGATTTAATATTATTTCTTTACAAGAAACAGTTTACCTCAACTAGAGTTATATTTCATAGAATTATGTTGACCATGATCCAAATATTGCCATGGGTATAAGATAGTTGTTTGATTTGCAAACTGGATTTAAATTATATTTTCTTTAAACATAATTATTTGCTCTCTAGATGCTTACAAATAATTTATTAAAAAAAATTATATACTTATTTACTAAACCGTTTTATTTCAATCAATTATTTGA